ATTACTCCATGAAGTCAGTAAATACATGGGAAAATCACGTAGTTACAGTGTCTCTCTTATTTTTCAAATTTTACCCTGAAGTGGAAATAAGACGTTGTGCTTATTTCAACACAAAACAAAAGAGACCCACAGCTTGAGGTAGGGTCAGGAGTACAGTTTTGCTTATGCATGGACAAATCCTGGTGTGAATTCAGGAAATAATTACTAAGCGACAATAGTTTCATGTTTTTGAAGTGGAAGCAAAAGGGAGAGGATGACATGTACGGAAGCCATGGGGCTAGTGCAATGAAAAGGGGTAGGAACAGTGAGCTGGGTAGGCTCTTTTTGGCTTGCTGTTAGGCGAGTTCTGTGGTTGACTTAAACCAAAATGTCAGAACTTAAAATTGTCATTTAAAGACCTGGAGTTTTAGGAGGTTAGTTACCATTTTGTTCTGTGGAGCATGGACTCCTTGTGTCAGGCCTTTCCTTATGGTTTGGTAGGATAAACATGCCCAGTAAGGAGTGCCTTCTTTCTGGTTTATACCATTTCCTCTTCTGGGTCTTCTTGAACAATACATTCTTTAAGATAATTTTCAGGTGTGCCGTTTACTGCTTTTTATGATTTTGTAAATAGTCTCATTTGTAATTGGTTTGGCTACGTTAGTACACCTGTGTGTGGAAAATCTTCCTGATACAGATAAAGCTTACATCACTTGGACACTTGGGACATCTTACCCAGAAGAGGTGGGAATAGAAACTGTTGCAACTGTTGATTAGTTTAATTGATGGAATCAATTTATTGGAACAATTAGAGAATGTCACTCTAATCCAATGAAATACCTGAAAAATGAATAAAATGTTGGAGCATTCAATGTAGAGAGTGCCTTCGCTACTCAGTTAAATTGCAGTGCTCATTAGTGGTAGTCTTTCAGCTGCATTTCACGACAGGTATTTCGTGACAGCAGACACCACTTGTTGCTTTTATTTGTAGACATATCTGATTTTGTCTTTCTGGTCACAAATGTGTGAGGAGACTGAAGTCCAAGGAGGGGATCATGGCAAAATGAACAGTGACAACATTACAAAATGCTGTGAGGGAACAGTTCCCCATTAGACTTTATTGGGGCTATAACAATAAAGAAAAGTTTCATCTTCCTTTGGGAAGGTTAAAATATGCTTTTGTAGTAGCTGTGTAAGAGATTGGAACAAACAAGACGGTTTTGAATTTACAGCTACGGCATCTAATCATATTCAAACCCAGTTTTCTTTCTGTAAGCAGAAAAATGCCCTGGGCTGTCTGCAGTCCCTTCAGAACAGGGTGCTCAGAACAGAAGATAAATTTGTCCAGTAGCTCCTGTTTTGCACACTGTTTGCCAGTTATTTGCTAAGTACTCCAACCGTGCACTCTGATGCGTGCTGATCCGTTGGTGTGTTTGCTGGGGAGCAAAGGTGGCAGGACTGGGGATGTGTACTCAGCATGGAGTGTCTCCTTCCAGCTCTTCTATGTCCAACTTGCCTTGCAGGTCATTGTAGGTAGCAGCCCTCCAAAGGGCCGTGGAAGCCCACCTGCGGTCCAAAGAATCGTACCGCTAGCCTTTTCCAGTAGAGCCAGGTCAGAGTATTTATCACTGAAGAGTTCCTCCTAAGAAGGAGAATAGCTTTTGGCAAAACTGATTAGCTCCTGTTTCTGCTTGGAGCCTGTATCAGTCTAGCTATGATGAAGTGAGCCCCCTTTCAGAGAGTAGTCCTCAAAATTGCCCAAAATCGCTGTGAACTGAAATTTCCTTCCTTCCTCAGAAAGAATGAAATTTGGCAGCATATATTATTGAATCTTCTTTAAAATGCAGGTTTGAAAAGGGGCTGTGACAGGAACTTGCATAGATCCCCACCACCACCTTCTGTTGCTGTTGCCAGGAGGGATGAGTTCAGGTGCCAGCTGATGGTGGTTTTGTTAGTCACATAGGTGGCACGTACCTTTTAATAGACCGCTGTCCTTTACTGGTGTTGCAGACAGACTTTTTCAGGCTCTCGACTGCATTCTTTTTTAAGCAGTAAACATATGTTGTCAATTTGCACTATCATATTTGTTAAATCCATTTTTTTTTAAGCTTTGATTGTATGACTAGAAGCTTCCAGTAGCTTTTCAGAGGCTATTGGAAGCTTCTAAAGTTTTCATCTATGATTCATCACAGCTCTTCCCAGTAGAACTTTGTTGTTTATTATGTAAGTTAACAATGCAAATGTAAAAGCAAGGAATGGCATCAGGAACGCAACTTTACTTGAAGTACAGCTTAAACGTGAAGAGTACTCTGAAATAAATCTGTGTAATTTAAATTGTTGTCCTTAAAGCTCTTCTGATTTTGCTTAATTTCCTTTTGTGAAGTGCAGAATAAGTTTGCTAAATCAAAACTGCATGTGTCTGTGGTTATTTTGTATTCATTTAGTGTGAGTAAGTTATATGTGGCAATCAGCCTAGGGTTTCTAATCCCGAACAAAACTCTGCTGCTTGAGCTGATAATCCATAACTCATCACTAAGGGTGAATAACTGGTGTCAAGGATGGTGGCCCAGTTAAGACTTAGGTCGGTCCACTGTAGCTGAAGGCTGAGAGAGGTTACACCCCACGCAAGTGTAAATTCTCTAATGGATGACAGAAAATTAAATTGCTGACACAATTGATGTTGGTTAAGAATTGAATTGAAGTACAGAAAAAACAATTCTGTTTCAGGTGCTTGCGTGTGCCTGAGTACATTTTCCCCCCATATAATAGGTGTTCTGTTTTCTATGGCTTTGGTGTTGTGGGGGACTTCTTGGGGCATTTTTCAGGTAGATAAAGTAGCTGGTTTGTCTGGTGATGTAGAAGTATAACAGTGATGCTGTGGGAATTGGATGCAAGTGCATTCAGGGAAACAGAGTATATGAAAAGGACATGATGTAAAGGGTTGTTTGGAGGAATTCCGGTGGTAGAAGGCAGAACATTCCTTTCTGTGTAAGCTGCCCCCCTCGTTCTCCAGTTCCTCTGTTTTGGGGGGGAATCTACAATATTACCTTGTGGAGGAGCATTATTCATCCATGCATTAGGTAGATTGTGTTGCATGATGTGTAACCATGTATGAAATGAGTCTTACTCCTGTTATATTTTTAGTACTTTTATTATTTATTTTGTAAATCAAGATCATCTGAGGACCCCAGTTTATGGATCTCACCTAGGCACCATTTTCTGAATGTCCAGGATGTGGATTCTCTTTTATCCCTCATAGTGTCCTTCCTAGTTTCTTTCTTTTGAAAATAAAATATAGTTGAGGTATTGTCTTAGAGAAAAAGGTTAAAAAAAAAAAAACCACAACAACTATGTGTAGAAGCAGAGAGCCAAATAGGAAGCTGTCAACTTAGCTTTACTTTTTTGGTCCTCTATTTGCAAATTTTTGTTTCTTTTTTCAGCAGGTTTAATGTCTTTTTTGTTTCATTTCAGCATAAAAATAAACCACATGTGGTGACCTTAGCTAGGAGCCACTCCATCTCCTCGGCAGCTGCTGCTGCACGCTGCTTGTCTGACAGACGGGGCTAGGTCATGGTTACCAGAGGACACCCTCATGGTTGTAACCAAGCTGTAAATGTCACTGAGATTGTTTCTGAATGCTTATCACACGTGTATCGCCGATTCTGCAGTAGATAAAGTCAGCCAAAGATTCACTGGGGAGTCGGGGCTCCCAGAAGATGAGTTTTAAAGCCGAATAGCATCAAGAGTAGTGACATGCATCCATAAACAGTGGTGGTGATTTGACAGTTACGTAGCCCTCAGTTACTAGCCCTTCGGTAGAACCGACAGCACGCCTGCAAAGATTGTGAGGCCTGTTTCAGCCCTGTTAATGTTGTCTCGAGCTTGGGCCTGCGGTCTGAAAAAATGATAAGTGTTCAGTGATTTATTTTATAGTCTCAGGGCACTTGGGCTGGTCTCTGGTAGCCGTGAACAATTTTCCTCCCTCCCTTAATTAGGCCTGAGCTTTAGGTTTCTCTCTACCAGGTTTAGAGAAATGAGTCGGAATTGTAGGGTTTACAAAATGTTTTTCAAAACCTTGGCTGCAAAGGAGGTGCGTTTTGAGTGCCAGGTCTGTCGTGTTTTGGTACAGAATAAATGATTCAGTGCACATCTGGTCAGTCTGAATGGCAGATACCATATTCGTACCTTTATATGGAAAAGCTGAAAGCATTTTGAAATGTAAGAAAGAGAATTTTGAGTAATTGGTTTAATTAAATAATACGTACATCCTGTGTTTTCTATCTCTAGACCTGTGGTGCTAGCTGTCAGTGAACCAGTGTTCCCCAGCTGGGTGAGGGTCCCTCCAAGCCTGCTGTGTTGGCTATACGAATGCTACAAAAGCGCCAAACAGTATTTCAGTTTGAGTGCGTGTTTGCAATTTGGGTGACAAAGTCGTTTGTTTAATCACTATTTGGAAGGAAACCTTTTGTCAGTGAGCTGTGCTGTTTAGTAATGTGATAGTGTCAAAATGCCTATTAATCTGTAACATTAATAGCAGGCTGTAAGGGGAAATGGAATTTCTTCTTCTCATTTGCACAAACATTTTTTCCTCATGTCAGTGACTCTTCCTGACCTTTTTACTATGTTGTTTTATTAATGCAAACAGAAACCTTAGGGGAAAAAACACCCAGTTGTGAATTCTTCAGACTAATTTTACTCTCTTTGGTTAGCGACCTAACACCAAGAGGATTCAAATATAAAAATATCTCACTATTATTCCATTTCTAGAAATATTGTCCAAGAGGACACAGCTTATTAAGAAAAAAAATAAATTATGTGGTTTCTTTTTGATGGAGGAGAAAGAAAAGAGGGAGAGGAAGTAAAATGTGGGCAGGAGAATTTCTGTGAGATAGACCCGAAAGCCAACTTTTGTGATTAATGACCAATTGTGACTCTGCACATTTAATTAGGAAAGTGTCATTACACTCAATTAGCGGGGCTGCCAAATAATCTGTTTAATACTCTGGTCTTTTTTTCTCTAGGGTTTTGCAGACAGTCCTCATTACAGTGATCACTTGAATGACAGTCGATTAGGGCCCCATGAAGGATTGTCCCCGACACCTTTCATGAACTCAAATCTGATGGGTAAGTAGGTAATTCTTTACGAGTATCCCCTCAAAGCCTCTTTGGTCAGAAAGAGACATTTTTCATTCCCTTGTCTAGGCCTGACATGTCAAGCATCTGGAAGTTGCTGTTTCTCATAGCAACACTGACTTTCCTATTGAAATCTTTTTACGTTGGGCAAATTCCTCATAAAGGCCATTGTCCAGGACTTTTTAGAAGAAAGAACCACCTAGATTTTGTCAAGTTGACCTAGAAAGCTAATATATTTTGATTTGATTTTTACATTTCTCTTGTAAATTCTAAGTTACTTTGAAGCTGAGTTTTCTTTAACTTTTGCTGAGAAGACATATATAATAGCTTTTAATTTGTGTTTTTAAAACCAATTTTTTTTTCTAACACTGGTTCCTGACCTGCCTACCAATTTTAGTCTTTTCGTCAGCTAATAATTTGAGGGCTCTGATTTTCTAATTTCTTTTCCTTTTTTATGTTAGAAAAGTTGTCACTTTTAAGACATAGATGTAAACACCTATTTTGCTAGGCAAATGTATTTGTTGCTTCCAGGCCTGTGGGTGTCCAACATTTTCTGCTTTTGAAACTGGAAAAACAAGCAAAATGTCTATTAAATTGTGGGCTTAGGTATTGAAAGCTTTTGCTTCATTGCCTGCACTTTTGTGTTACCTGAAACATGTTATTATATTCATGGCATTGTTCAAAACTCATCTTCTCCCTGTTCCAGTTTGGAGCATAACAATGTTGATTTCAAAATATTTATTGTTTGGCAATACATGGTCTTGGGAGAAGTTTTTTTCTTGCATCTTAAGTTTAGGGATGACTCTGTTCTGAGTTTATATATTTGACATTGTTTCGCTTTATGTATTCTGCGTCTTGTAGACATGACCTATTTTGTGATCTCAGTATTGTCCTTTTAAGACATAGCCGTGGTAATCTAAGTGGATTACCTAAATCCAAATCCTGGTGGTCTGCAATTTCTTTTGGAAATCTTTCTACTTTGCTCAGTCTTTGTTTACTACTTTAATTTTCTCTGAAACAGAGGCAGACAAAGCATAGCTATTGCTGAAACCAGGATTTTGTTTAGACCTTCATAAATGAACCTGAAACGATGTAATTTTAAAATGACCATCTCTGTAGTCTTTGTTTAGAGAGAGTACATGTCAATTGGCCGGTTACACATATATCTGAAGATCGTACAGCTAAATGTAGTTTCCTTTAGTTCTTTTGATAAAGCAGAGTAGCGCTTCCCCTCAGTACTGTTTCAAATAGGTTGTCTTTTTTTAAATACAGGGGACTAAAAAGAGAAATTACTTAAATTGCTTCTCCAGTATTTTGATCAGTAGTGTGTATGGAATGGCACTAGGCTTTGTAGCTGATAGTGATTTTATTTTACAAAAATATATAGCAGAGTTTGATTATTTTTTTTAATTTGTATTACCAAAGGCAAACCATTAGCTCATGCTTTTATTTTGAGCCATAGAATTTCTGAACAATATATGTCTTCAAATACATGAAGAAAATAATTGGTGCAACTGTATCTTCCTAGTTTTTCAGTTTTATTGAAGAGATGTCTAGGTGATTCCATTAGACATAATAGAATTGCATCCTTGGTACAGATTTGAGAAGACGCAAGAATTAATGACTTGCAAGATGTGTATGTGTCAGTCACTTACCCAAAGCAGCTGTGAACTGCAATAGTTTTGTAATGCTTTGTGGCTAAGCAGTTCTTATGGATTTTATGATAGAACTTTATTTCCTTCTATATGCAGCAAAGAATTATAGAAAGCTTTCAGTATATATCTTTAAGAAACGTGCACCTCAAAACTCTCAAAGTATGTGTTTAAAAAGTGTTCTACCTGTGGTTTTTGGCTTGTCATAACAAAAAATTATATTCATTTTACATGTGTTACAGTATAGGATGCAGCTTTGTGTAACATACGTTCACATGAATTTTTGCAGCATATCTTAAGTTGATACTGAAAGTTTGGAGAGAGGAATTATAAAAGCTGGAAAGAAAAACATTGAGGAGTAGTTTTCTGCATAGTACCACTGTCTGTGTTTATGGGGGCTTTTTGAGATTTGTTCTTAAGTTTTTTAGACAAGCAAATCTTACACACTTTGTTAATATGAAATTGTGGACATGTTCCTATAAATAGAATGAGAACATCAGTTTTATTAGTTACTGTAGATGATATTTAATGCGTTGATTGATTATTCTGGGATCTTCAGAGGTGAAGAGAAGATGGAGCCTAAGAACATGAACTTGAGCTTATAGGAAATCTCTCTCTAGATTAATAGGAGTGCTGGAGCGTCTGGGCTTCCACACTGAAGATCTGAGAAACACATCCCTTCCCAACATTTCATCATGACTGAAATAAATCTCTGAAATAGTTAAAAACTATTAAAAAAAAAAAAAAAAAAAGAGAGCAACAACATATTTCACCATTGCTATCAACACTTAAGAGCACCATTAAAAGAAAGAATTGTGTGTCAAGGGGATGTTGTTATTTTGTGTATTATGTTCAGCCGTAAGCATATTTGCCTGAAGAGATAGCGGATTATAAAGTGCCACTGTCTTTCATGATGGAGCTCTCAAACATTTTAATGATCTTGTACGTTGCAAAAGAGAGAAATTTTGTCTAACAAGAGTTGATAATGATTCAATAATGAACAATTTGCCACAGAAAGATGCATTTCCATATCCATTTAGATATTTTTTGAAGTGTTTTGCAGAGGAAGTAAAGCTATTATGTTGGATTGGTTAGTGTTCTTCACTAATGAATTCCAGAATTATCCTGTTGATTTGTTAGTATAAAAAAAGAGGGGCTGTTGCTGGTATTTTAAGTAAAACCACTGAATCCTCCTCCACCAGCATAGTCTGTTAGTATCCATAGAGATATGTAGAAAATCAGGCTAAGATATATTGGTGGTGTTGTAGCTCCATTTAGGCTTGATAATCTTTGCTTATTCAACACTTTCTTTTCTAATTACATTCTAGAAAACTATTCACAAGGATACAGGATTCTTTTCTCTGTAATTGTGCTGCTTTTTAGTACTTTGCACTTGCAAGGAGGGGTCAGTTTTTGCTAGGACCCTTCAAGCATGTGGTATTGTACCTTCTGTTGTACTGCGCCCTGGACTTTATTCTGCTGAGCTTTTCTGCTAATGCTTACCAGGAAGAAAGAAAGCAGATCATTCTGCAGTATAGCTTAAAGGGTATTTTGTTGATCCTTCTTGAAAATTTGAAGTGGATGACTTCATTTCTTTTGTGTGTCTGTCTTTCTGCAAGAGGTAGAAAGGATAAAGGCAAAACTTTGGTGCTCCATGTTCATCATCTGTGTACTACACAGTTCCACAAGCTTGTACATGATAAAAAGTCATTTAAAAATTTAGTCAATAGTGAGTGAAAAGGTGATGGTTGAATATAAGCTTGCCGTGTTGAAATTGGTCCCTTGAAGTAGAGAGAGAGATCATTCTTCCAAGCTTTCCTTCAAGTGTACTTCCTTGTTTTCTCATTGTTTCTTTAACTAGCTGCATTACAGTTTAATTGGATTAAATTTTAGAGCTCTGAGTGTTCCTGGACTAGCCACAGGGTTTGAAGACCTGTAAACCAAGATAACTGGAAACTGTCCTAATCTGAAATTCTGTATGTGTGGGAGTGGAGGATTTTAGGTCATTGGCATCTTCCCAACCTCACCTGCTCACTGACTCTAGCAGACCCGCTGCAGGGTTGTGGCCACTAGATTATTTCCTATCTCCTGTTGATGTTGTAACACTCACCGCTGTTAGTATCTGAGTGCGGTGGTGGCTCTGCTCCTCTCCTTGACAAACTAACTTCTGCTTCATGCTGTTGTCTTGTGGCCAGCATTAGGAGTATGGAGGACCTGACAATGCAGGGAGGTCAAGACACGCATCAGTCAGTATTTACGAGGGCAGAGTAGAAGCTTGTTACGGTAATTAGAGCTATAAATTACTCAGATTGTTAATCAAAGTATAGTTCTTTATACTGTAACTATTTATATGGTGACTATAAAGGGTAAGCCTGATTCTTGTCCTGATTGAAATAAAGAGGTGGAAGAACCAAACATAATACTCTCTAAGGGAAGCAGAGTCATACATTTTGTGTTTTTTTGCAGTTCAGTTTCCTTTAATGTTGGTTGTCCTCAGTGCACTTGAATCACTTGGGTGGTTTGTCATCAGACTTCACAAAACTGGGCTTCAAGTAAATCATATATATACACACCCCATTTATTTTACTCTCTATTAGTGTTTTACTGTCTTGCCCCGTGTAGCAGGTGGTTAGTAGGGATATGCTGGGTAGAACCTGCCGCGTGGAGCCAGGGGCGGCAGGAGCGGAGAGGTGCTTGGTGGACTGAGGGCAAATTCCGCAAATTTTCAAAGGCAGTCTATCAAGTTACTGTGAAACTGAAGGCCCATTTTGTGGATTAATTGTACAAGTGAGTGGTCAATATCTGGATTGGGATGCCTTCTGAGCTTACAGTTACTGTTCACTTAATTGGCTCGCTTGACTGATTGTGTGGGTTTGTGAGAGTGGCTGTGCTTCTGCCACTGTGTGTTTCAGACTAGTGAAATTACTATGGCTAATTTGTATTGTAAAATCTATTGTTTGACTTGTAAGTTAAGCACCCCAGTTGGCTTGGATAGTATTTTTAAAGATGAACATTAGGGATATTTTTTGCAGCAACCTGGTAAATAGCTGAAGCCTCTGTAAGCTTTGCAGCATTGATGTTGTTCCTGAACAGGTGAGGTGAGCCTTCTAAACCTTCATTTGGGAAAGGTTATTCTCAGGAAAAGGAGGGGCTTTTACACTTTAAAATACAGTTAAAAGAAGCCATGCGTCTAAATTGTTTCTCAGGTAAGAATTTAACTTCAGGAAAACTAGTTGTCTTCCTCAGTTGCACTTCAGTAAAAGAATTTTGGAATCGAACAGAGAGAGCGTATTATCAAATGGCTTTCTGGTGGTGCAGGCAATAGTAGGAAGCAAGCAA